ATTTAATCGCTATTTCCATTTCTGCATCTATCGGCTTTCTCTTGGGTTTGAGCTTTTATGTTTCATAAACTGATTAGGAGCAATTATACGTGCTTTATCCCCAAACTTTCCAAATGCCTAGGCCATATGCATATTTAAGGCTTCATCATCTCTCCCGACAGCTCAGCCTCAATGTAAACTGCTGAAATCAAGCTGATTCTGGGACAACATCAAAAATTAGGGTTTTAACCACTAATATCTGCTCGAACAGGAAATTTGTTGTGGGTGGTGGCCGGATTATGACTTCTAATTACTGTGGCAGATCCTCCCTGCCTAGCAGTGAAAGTCTCCTATTCCAGCAAAACTGCAGCAAAACCACTCTGGAGAAGTGAAGATGCCCAAGGGGATCCCGGGGTGCTCTGTGTCCAGGCAGGGAGCAACCCTGGGTGGGAATGCCCCAGGCATCAGTTCACCCTGAGCACACGAGTACCCCAAATTGGTGGTCCCACTTCCACACCTCCCAGTCCCCTCACGCCCGTTTGCCTTTCTTGGTGAGAAGCACGATGGCCCAGAGGGTCCCCCCCCCGCCAGCCCCCAGTGCCGGCCACGGCAATTATCCTAAATGAAAGTTATTGTTCTGCTAATCCTGGGAACAGCTTGCGATGGGAGATTTGGGTCTTTCTTTAATAATGCAAAGTTAATGCGGAGTCCCCTTGTAATTATCTTTATCAGAAGGACCCTCGGTTAATCTGACCGTCCAATGAAGGCCTGGATCAGGCGGCCCGTGTAAGCCGGTTGTAAATCATTTCCATCAACAGATGAAGGGAAGAGGGAAAAAAATTGCAGCCCAGGTGCAAGAATCTGGGAGCAAAAGGGAGCCCAGAGGCCAGGCACCTCAAGGTGGCCCTGGCCCCGGTGACAAGGCACCTGAGGTCAGGGAGGCTCCTGCTCCACAGCCCCTGCCTGCTCCCATCCCTGTCTCTAGGGTCCTGAGCCCAGTGGGATGTCCCATCTGGGATGTGGGGCTGAAGGGTCTTGGGCTGGAAGGGGGGTACTGGGGAGGGTACTGCCCTGCAGTGGAAGAGGGGATACGGGGACATCGGGACACAGCAGGGGGTTCCTGGGAGGAAACCCGGAGAGGGAACCCAAGGGGATGCGAGGAGGATTTATGGGGCATGGAGGGGAACAGGGTGACCGGGCCGGGGCGGGATGGGCGCTGAGAGGGGGTCCTGGAGAGGGTCCGAGCGAAACCGCAGGGAAGTCTGCGGGGGGTGGTGAGGACCGAGGGGCGGGGGCCGAGGGGAACGGAGGGAGGGACGGCGAGGAGGGCGGCGGGGGCCGGGGGAGGGGCGCGGGACCTGTGCGGGCGGGAGGGGGGACAGAGGCTGTTAATCCAGGGATTGGGAGCGCCCCCCCGCCGGTCTGGAGTGTGATTGGAGCCGGGACCGGCGGCGGGACGATAAAAAGGACGGCGGGCGGTGGTGGCCGGGCCAGGCGGCGGCGGCGGCGATGCCGGGCCGGGCGGAGCCGTCGGGGGGACGCGCGGCGGCGGGGCCGGTGGCCGTGCCCGTACCGGTGACACCGGGCGCGGCGGCGCGGCCGGGAGGCGCGGGGCTGCGGGCCAAGGGCTTCGCCATCACCGACCTGCTGGGGCTGGAAGCCGAGCTGCAGCCGCCCCCCGGGCCCCCCCCGGCCGCCACCGCCGGCGGCTACGAGGGCGGCGGGGCGCTGGGGCTGGGGCTGGGGCTGCTGTGCAGCCTGGGGGGGCCGGGCGCCCCGTGCCTGCTGCCCGCCCCGCTGCCGCTCCTGCCCGCCCGCGGCCCCCGCCCGCCTCCCGGGCCGCCTCCCGCCGCCCGCCGCCACAAGGAGAACATCTCCGGTGAGCGGGGTCGGGGTCGAGGGTGGCCGCTGAGGCGCGCACGGTGACCCCCGTCCCGGGCCGCTGCCGGGGCTGCCTCGCACCTGCGGCCGCGGCCGGCATCCTCCCGCCGGCGCGGCTCCCGGGCTGCCCGTCCCGCCGGGATGCCGAGCGTTCGACCCTCCGGCAAGTGTGGGCTCCCACCCCCTGCCCCGGGATGGCATCACCGGTGCGGCACCGCGGGCTCAGCTGTGGGAGGGGACCCCTCCGTGCCCCGGGCCCTCTCCCCGCGGGCGGCTGGAACCGTGCTTGGGGAGCTGCGCTCGGTTGCCCCGCTCTCGACGGGAACGTGACTCTTCCCCTCCCGCATGCTGCTGCCAGATGAGGACAGCCTGTCTGGGGACGCCAGCGACCTGAAGATGTCCACCTCCCAGATCAAGAGGAAGAAACGCCGGCACAGGTAGCGCCCGGGAGCCAAGCTGGCCCCGCTCTCACCTCCTCGCTGCTGCCACCATCCTCTCGCTGCTCCTCCTCTCCCCAAGCTGGGTCGGTCGGTATCCCCAAGGGGGATAAAGGGAGGAAAGGAGGAAAGAGAAGGGCTGCCGCTGGGGTGGGGGGAGGATTTTCCGGGGGAAAACCTGAGCGTGGGGGGCTGCCAGCCTCGCTGTTTGCCCAAGGGTCCGGACGGTGTGACAGGATGCTCTCTCCTCTCGGCAGGACTGTGTTCACAGCTCACCAGCTGGAGGAGCTGGAGAAGGCTTTCAATGAAGCGCACTACCCCGACGTCTATGCCCGGGAGATGCTGGCTGTGAAGACGGAGCTGCCGGAGGACAGGATACAGGTAGGGGGCTGCAGCGGTCCTCTCCCTTCCGAGGGGTCTGCGGGCTGCCAGCATCCGGCCGTCTCCTCTGCTCTGCGGCAGTGGGTGCAGGTGGTGGGAGCGTGGTGGCACTGAAGCGCTGCAGGGTGCCTGGCAGGAGGCTCAGCTTCTGCCTGCTGGCACCGAACAGCCTCCAAATGGACATGCAGAACCAGGGGACTGAGCTGGCCCCAGCAGTTGCTCATTGCTGGCAACTTGGCTCTGTCCTCCCACTTAGGCAGGAGCTGGGAGCAATTTGGAGCTGCTGGGCCAAGCTGTGACACAGGAGCTTGCTCACTAACTTGTCCTTTTGAGGGACACGTGGCATTTTAGAGCCTGATCCTGCTCCCCTGTAAACAGCTCAGTGGCTCAAGAATGAGGTAGTGGTCTGGGCAGCAGCCTGGTTATATCTACTGCCTTGAACCTTCAAACAGAGAAGTGGGGTGGGAAGAGGGACCTGAGCACCTTCTGTCATCATTGATCACTGCATTATGGAGCCCTTTTTCTGGAGAGGTTGGTGCTTTGTGCATCAGGCAGGGAGTACCTGAGGGCAGGCAGAGCAGCATAGGGTGACTTTGGCTGGGATCACCCTCCTGTGTCACGATCAGCCTCATGTTAACATGTGCTCCCTCTCCCTCCCTTCCTCCCCTCTCTGACACCCACGTGTGTGCCCTCCCTCACACCCCTCCCCACACTCTGGCTGCCCTCCCGGTGCCGCCTGCGTGTCCACACCCCGTGTCTGCACCCCCAACCCCACCACACACCCCACGGCTGACTTTTGCCCTGGATGGACATTCCCCCGTTCCCGATGGGCCTCGGGGGCTGTCTCCTCCCCAACCCCACCCCTCCGTGCTCTCCTGGCTGTTACCCCTGAAGGTTTGGTTTCAGAACCGAAGAGCCAAGTGGCGGAAGCGGGAGAAGTGCTGGGGCCGGAGCAGCGTGATGGCCGAGTACGGCCTCTACGGGGCCATGGTGAGGCATTCCATCCCTCTGCCCGAGTCCATCATCAACTCCGCCAAGAGTGGCCTGGTGGGATCCTGCGCCCCTTGGCTGCTGGGTGAGTGGGAACTTGGGGTGCTGCTGGGGGCATCAGGGCTCAGCTTCTTCTTCCATACGGCTGCCCTTGCCCTTTTCCAGAAAGGAATGAGGCCTCCCTGGCCCTGAGCTGTATACAGGCTGGTTTTCCATTTTCTCCTTGCAAAGAACAGCTGGGAAAAGGAAAACCTTTTACTGCTGTGTCAGACAGGTGCCTGCACGTGGGTGGGTATCACTCTGCAGTGCTAGCAGGCAGCATGGGAGTTGCAAGGCATCTAAGAAGTGACCACCACCTCCCCCTAAACCTCAGAGCTACCTCAGAGCTGCCCTCTGCTCATACACAGTCAAAATCCAGGTTGGAATGGGCCATTACAGCACATCTCTCCCTGCAAGCCTTGCCTGCTACAGGGAAGGTACAGACTAACTTTGCCACAAGCCATCCCTCGGGCTGCAGAGAGCAGGTGGCAGGGCTCTGGGTGGGGAAAGGCTGGTAGTTAGAGAGAGCTTTCCTTGGGATGTAGGCAAGAACTGAGGGAAGCAGCAGTAATTCAGGAGGTTATTCTGAGCATTCCCAAGCAGAAATAAGCAACCAGTGCCCTTGGCTTTGCTCTCTCCCCTCTGCAAGGTATGCACAAAAAGTCCATGGAGGTAAGCAGGAAGGCAGAGAGCCAAGAGAAGCTGGCAGATGGCTGGCGAATGGAGCAGGAGGAGGAGGAACTCAAAGGGACGCAGGCCAGCTCCCAGAAGGGCTCCGACAAGCTTGGGCCTGCAAAAGACTCGGAGGACACAGCCATCGACCTCTCCAGGACAGCCAAGCATGAGAAGAGGGGTGTGCTGAGGCAGTACATCAACGGGGACCCCCCCAGCGAGCAGAACGACAGGGACCACTGAGCTTGGGCTGCCCCGGAGGAGGCCAGACCTCACAGCATCCTGGCGAGACCATAATATTTATTGATTAATTGATATATATATATTTTTTTTCTTAAATAACGGAACTTTTATCTGAATTCAGGGCATTTTAAAACTGGGCACACAAATCCCCTCGTCCCCTCACTTTCAAGCTGTTCACTTCTCAGCAGGGCCAGGGTGGAGGGTGGCAGAGGGGCCAGGAGCAGTGCGAGGATGGGAGCGCATTGTGGTCAGCACCGACTGCTGCTGGGGAGGAGCCCCCTTCCCCTCCGTGCTGGGACCACTTCCCCAGCTAGCCAGAAGCACAAAGAGGAGCAACGCACTAGGAGTTGCTCCCTCCTCCAACACACAGGTGCAAGGATGGTGCAGGAGTTTACAGACGCCTTCTCCAAGCGCTTCCACCCCGGCGCAGCGCCCGTGTGCGAGTCCTTCCACGCCGAGCACACAAACCTTCCACCTCGAGGAGCAGCAGGGTTTTTAAACATGGTAGGGTTCATCCTCAAGCTGGTGTAACCTGACAGCAAGGCAGGTTTCTATTCCCTGAGGATCTAGCCTGCCAATGCAGCCTTATCACTGGATTTACACTGTGTATCTTCCTTAACTCGTATTTGGGAGAAGGGGGTAAGGATGTTTTTGTTTATGCAGTGATTTTGTACACTCTTGAATGTCACTTGCCACACTATGCATGATAGGACAGACCTTTTTGAAAAGCAAGCCATAGTACCCTGGAGCAATTAAACAATTTTGTGAAGTGACATAAGAAGATATTTTGTAATTGTCTGTAAAAAGTGTTAATGTCAGAGCTGTTTCTTGGTCACCCTATATTTATGTCTAAAAGCACTTTAGTAATCTGGATTTTTGAATGTGGCTCTTCCTGTATTGTCCACCGTTTATTTATTACACATCCATAAATAAATTTGTGGTGTATCTTTGGTTTTCATGTATTGCAATTTATACCTTCCTTTGACACATCTCATGGCAGTTGCTGAACTGGCCCATGCACATGCCTCGACAGCTCTCCTGGAACACCTCCAGTTTCATCTACCAGCCAAAACATAAAATTATCAAAAGGTTTTATTAAAATCTGAGTAATTCCAATTTGGAAAGTGTCTTAATACAGCTCAGGGGGTGTGTGGCCAGGTACTGATGCTGTCACCTGGCCCTGCCTCTGCTGCTGGGCCTGGCTGCTCTCACAGATGCAGCTACAGGCTGTGCTGGACAGGGGCAGAGAGGGGGGACAGTTCCTGGGAAGAGCAGAGCAGTAAGTGGCACGTGCAGATTTCCTGCCTTTCCCCTCCTCTGCTTGGCCAGACCCCACCAGGCGGCCAGGGGGAGGGGTAACATATGCATGGCAAATACAAGCTTTGCAGGAAAAAAAAAAAAAAAGTTTGCTGGGGGGGCTGTGGGGAGCACAGTTCAGGAAAGGACCAGCCAGGGCTTATTGCAGCAGCAATTAGGCTCACTGAGAGCCGAGACTTAGCACATTGGAGGCCTAATCCTGCCTGAGCAGCATCTGCAAACCTTTTATTTGGGCTGTGCCACGCTGGCACTGAATGCTTGCAATCCTTTTTTTTTTTCCCTTTTGGTCTGCCTGTGTGCAGATGGCCTGGCTCTTTGCCTTGTGCTGGCTGCAGCGCTGTGAGAGCGAGCACGTCACCACCACCAGTGCTACAAGGGGAGACACTGTAGTTCCAGCCTGCACAGGGTGCAGACCTCTGGAGCTCCTGGTAGTGCCTGGTGGGATCCCAGCTCTCACCACAAGCTGGGAAGGAGGAGTCAAGTGGAGGGCTACTGGCCCAAGGAACTTTTCACGTGCTGGGAAGTGACTGTGGGATACAGATGCTGGTGGATGGCAGTGACTGCCCAGACTCAGCTCCTGGTGACAGGGTCTGGTGCCCTCCTCAGAGCAGGGCTGTGCCCACTGTCCTCCAATGTCACTGCTTGGAGCAGCAACAGGAGTAGGGCAGCACATTCTTGTTGCTTCAGGTTTGATCCATCTTGAGATCAGTGGCAGCCAGACCCAGCCATGGCTCAGCCAGTTCAGGCTGGGCCAGTGGCAAGAGCGTGACCCTGATGCAAGGCAATGGCTGCCACTCGCAGGCATCTCCACTGCTGCCCATGTGAGACCCCACAGCCGTCCTGGTGACCACATCAGGGCCTGGTGCCATGAGCTTCCCTCTGTAAGGAGCCCCGGGCATCCCTCTGCCACAAGTGCTGGGCTTGCTCAAGCAGAAGATCCCTTCCATGTGGCCCAGGCAAGAGACATCAGTAAATTCGAAGGCAGTGTTCAGTGAAGGGAGTGGTGGGGGTGCCCCACTCTCTTTGCTTGATTTCCCTTATTTTAAAGCAGAGATAAAATGACCCAACCACTGGTAGTCACATTTTTTTTATGTCCCAGTGATGGGCCCAGAGCAGAGAAGGCTGCAGGGCTGCATTTGCAGAAGCATCTTCATGGCGCCACTTCCTTACACTTCAGCAATATTAATATCTGTGTTACTTTGTTTTGGCCAATCCACCCAAGCCGCAGGTTGCATTTTCAGGCTGGGAGCTCAGGCAGCGAGTCCGAACGCTTTGTAAGCGCTCCCTCGTGTGGAGCGGGGCGATGGGACACGGCGATGGGAGCAGCCCAGGAAAGGAGGAGGCTCCTGGAGCCCAGGGGAGGCTGCAAGGCTCGCTCCTCGCCCGTACTGCCACAGACCCTGCGGGGGCGCGCCTGCTGTGCATGCAGAATTCGATAATCCTGCGGGGTTTGCGTTTCATTGCTTTCGTCCGGCATCCCCAACAGGCACTTGGTACAACGAGCAGTCTCTGGCAGAGGGCACAGGCGCTGATCGGAGCCTCTGACTTTCTCCAGACTGCTTCAGGTGCGGGCTGACCCTGTCCTGGGGGAATCAGGCACAGCATCGCCTGCTGGATGAGGAAGGGGATTGTCCCCTCTGCTCTGCACTGGGGCGGCCTCACCTCGAGTTCTGCGGGCAGTTTTGGGCACTGCAGTGTAAAACAGACATTAAAATTACTAGAGAGCTTCCAAAGGAGGGCTACGAAGATGGTGAAGAGTCCGGAGGGGAAGCCTTGTGAGGAGTAGCTGAATTCACTTGGTCTGTTCATCTTGGAGGAGACTGAGGGGAGACTCCATGGCAGTCTGCAGCTTCCTCGCGATTAAAGCAGTGGGACAGACGCTCATCTTTTTTCTGTGGTGACCAGTGACAGGACCCGAGAGAATGGCTCTGAAGCTGTATCAGGGGACGTTTAGGTTGGATATTAGGAAAAGTTTCTTCAGCCAGAGGGTGGTTGGGCACTGGAACAGGCTCCTCAGGGAAGCGGTCACATCACCAAGCCCGACAGAGTTCTGTGGGTGTTTGGACAATACTCTCAGGCATTCTGTGTGATTACTGGGGTTGTCCTGTGCAGGGACAGAAGTTGGGCTTTGATGATTCTGTGTGTCCCTTCCAACTCAGACTATTCTATGATTTCCTAGGTTAATTCAGCACTAACACAAGTCCATTCTTTTAAACCAGGTGCACGTGTCCAGCCCGCAAAATCTCCTCAGGCCGCCAGTGGCGAGGGCACCGAGTGTCCTTTCCCTCGATCCCACACTGCGCCCGTGAGGCTCGCGGGGGGCTGCAGACTCCCGGAGCCGGGGAGCTCGGACCGGGCGTCACCGGGTGTCGCTGCCGCCGCACGGCTCGGAACGAGTGCCGGAGCGCTCCTCCCCGGCACGCCCCGGGGCCGCGGCCGCCGCCCTGGGAGTACCCGCGGGCCGCCCGCCGCGGCCTGGCCGACGGCACCGCGCTGCTGGCCCCGGCCCTGGCCTTCAACCTGGGCTGCGACCCCGCCGCCGCCGCACACCTCCGCCTGCAGGTGAGCCCAGGCCCGGCGCCCCGGGGAGCGGGCCGGCGGCAGCCGCGGCTCACGGTGCCCGTCCCCTCGGCAGAGGTACGAAAGGAGCGGCGCCGCCGATGGGAAGGGCAGCCGGTCCGTGCTGTCGGTGCCCCCGTTCGCCAAGGAGCTGCACCTGGAGATCGTGTGCTCGCCGGCCTACAACACCCGGGGAAGCTACGACTGCGTGCTCTACAGGCACTTCGGAGCGCCGCGGTGAGCTGTGCGGGCGCTCGGGGCGGACTCTGAGATGCGCTGCGTGTCTGTGCCACACGCTGGGATGTGCACATCGACACCCCCAGGGCGGGCGCTGTGTAGTTTTAGAACATCCCCTTGCATTGTCCTATCGTGAGTGTGCTCTGCTTGGACACAACACTTCTTGTCCTGTCCTTCACAAGTCGTCTTAAAGTCTCTGTGTTTTCTGTAAAAACACAAGTGATGCAGGGCAGGGAGGCCAGACAACCAGAAGGATTTACTCTCTTTCACTCGTGAAACTCTCTGGGTTTTTTGTAGGCTGGTCCAGGAGGGAGACATCCTGTGTGTTCCAACATTTGGAAATGCTGAGTTTATAGAACTAAATGCAGACAAGTTCCTAAGGTAGGTCCACAAACACTGGCTCTATTACTTGGTACCAGAAGAGGAAAGATGCTTTTCCATGACTGACTCTTTTGAAATCAGACAATTTATTCCATTCTGATCTGTCCCTGGATTTTAGTGTTTTATCTGTCTGTTAATATACTGGTAAGAGGGAAATGTTTTTATTGGATTATGGAGGGCTGAAGCTAAGAGGGAGGCCTCCATTAGCTCATTTGAATAGTCAGGAAGGGAAGAAAGGAAAAAAAGAGGTAGAGCAACTGATGGGGATAAAGAGTGAAGAGGAAAGGGTGGCTTGAGGGCAGTCAGAGCCACATGAACAAAACAGAGTGGGAGCTGGGCTTCTCAACTTGTGACAAACAACAAAATGTACATATAGGCCCTCGGAGTTCATGTTAGATTAACTTTCTGCTTGGCCACCAGTTGTGCTTTCCTTGGTTTTGCTCATGTGGCTTTGGAACAGTTGTGCTGAATGGGAGAATATCCCCGTTGTATCAGGATAAGGGAGATCCCAGTGGCATTCCCAACATTCACACTGGCTGATCCTTGTGCATACTGCAAGAGGACAAGAGTTTCTCTGCTTACCTGTGCTTATCAGCTGTCTTCTTGTTGACATTTATATTGTTCCTTCCTTCAAGATTTTGGGTAAACGCTTCAGGGTGCTTGTTTTTTCCCCTTAGGTGGCCAGAGCTTTATTTCAAGGTGAAGAAGGTCGTAGGCATGGTGGAAGGCGAGCAGTCCGAGGGTTACCTGGTGGACAACCAGAACACGTCTCTCTATCTGGTGAGATGCTGGTAGAGAGCAGAGAGAGGAGATCTGAGGATGACGACTGTACCTGTGGAGGCTTGTGCCTCCTGCCACTGGAAAATGACAGGACAGATTTTGTCACTTGGCACCGGTCTTTACTTGGGTGGTGTTTTTGCTTTCTCACAGGTGGGTTCAACAAACAGCACCGTCCCATCTGCCCCAGCCTATAACAGCAATGAGTTCTGGAGCAGTTTGTCTCCTGCGGGGCTTTCTGACGTGGTGAAACAGCTCTGCGATGCTCTTCGGCCTCACCTGAGCCGTCGGTGAGTGAGAATTCCTTGGAGTGAGCCCTGGAGGAGGTGGGGCCGTGGCCACAGGAGAATCCCTGTCTGTTGCAGGGCCAGCGCGCTGAGCGGCGTGGGCAGCGTTCTGCTCTCGGGGCCGAGCGGCAGCGGGAAGCTGATGGCTGTCAGGGCTGTGTGCAGCTGCCTCAACCTGCACCTCTTCAAGGTAATTCCTCCAGGGGCCAGTGCATTGGTGGATTTACAACAGAGAATTATGGAAATGGTTTTAAGTTGGCCCTGCCAACAGCCCTACTGCAGCCATGACATGAACCCGTCCAAGAGCTGCTTCCTGTGCAGATGCAGACAAGTGAGACACAAGTGATGCTGAGATCTTCTTTAGCTGAAAGGCAAAAGAAAAGTAGCCCTTGGTTTCATGCTAGCATGTGTACCAGGCCTGGCTCAAAATCTCTTGTCATGTAAAGCAGCTGCCCTTGTAACTGTGTTCACTGCCAAGAGCGGTGAAGTGTCAGGTGAAATTCACTGGAGCTGGTTTAATGTGGAATATGATGCAGTTCCAGCTGACTGTCAGTATTAAGAATTTGGTTTTATGTCAATGGCCCCATGGAAACTTGTGCTGTGCTTTCCATATTTGTAAAAAATCAGATCACATTTTATGAAACAAACTCGAGAGTGGGTGCTGTTGCTGTGCAAATCCATGTCTTGACACAGATTGGGCATCATGCACCAGTTCTGGTCTCCCCATCACACAACCATAAAACTGAACCGGAAAAATTCGGAAAAGAGCACTGGATAAGATCAGGGGTCTAGACCAGTTTCTGTGTGAGGAAAAGCTGAATAAATTCTTCAGCTTAAAAAATAAAGAATTAAGGGAGAATCTGGTACAAGTTTTTGCAAGATCTTTTTGAAAGAGATTTTTCACAAGAGCTTGAGAGGTCAGCAGAGCATGGAAGGTGTTTATTTTTCCTTGTGCCAGCATGGGGCCTATGACTGGCAGATGAAGCTAGTGGGAGCAGGCAAGCTAAAGGAAATGTTTCTCAGTGTAGGTGAGAGTATTTGGATGAGAAATCTACTGTTACAAAACCACATCTGACTGGGAAAAGCTCTTTTGATGGGAATGGTATGTGCCTGGATGGCCAGAATGAGGTCTAGCACCTGTCTCTGTTCAACACAAAGGGTTCTGGGAACCAACAGTGTCTTCAGTGACTTGTTAAAATTGCTGTTTTCCTCCAGCATACCTCTTTTATTCACTCTGACAGTCTGGGATTATCCCACAAATGCTTTCATTTTCTTGACTCTGTAGAGATACGTTTGCAAAAGTGAGAGGAAGTCACGTAGTGACTTTTCTAGGAGGCTTTCTGAAATTCTGAAAGGACATGGAAGAAGAAGAAGAAAAGTGGAAAGAATAGGGCTGGAAGGTTCCTTTTTTTGCGGAAGGAAATTGTGGGCTTGCTCCTTCTTTTTGTGGATATTTTGAGTAAACACTTTTCCTGTTCTTTTCTCTCCAAGAAACGCTGTAACTCTGGGTGGGTGGAGCAGGTAGATAGTGCCTTGGCCCACTGCTGTGCAGCTCATCTGGACATGATCCTTTGTGGTGCTGAGCTCTGACTTTTCTGAGGATGTGCCACAGCTCTTGGGATCCAATGCAAGATTGCAGGGATTTCACAGGACCTTCAGATCCTGTTTAGGATGTCCTTGGGAGCACTCTGTCCCTGTCATGTCCTGTCAGGTGGCCTCAGGTTCTAGTGGGGTGTGTGTGCAAGGCTACAGCTCTGGTTTCAGGGTTGTGTGCTGCTTTTAAAGACTAACACACTTACTATTAAAGACAGAGATACTTTCTGTCCATCTTATTCTCCTGCCCCAGCTTTTACACTCCCCTCCCTTTCTCACTGACAGCACTGCCATCCCACCTGCTCCTCCCTTTCTCTCACTGCTGTGTCTGCCATCCCACCAGGACACAGTGATCCTTCCCCACTCTAATGTCCACCACTTGATAAGAAACAATTTTTTGTCCTTTCTCTCTGCCTTTCTGTCCTTGCATAGAGATACTGCTGCCATTAGGCCTGCCACAACCCTAACTCCTGGAGTACATGGAGCACAGGAGTTCCTCTGCTCTGTGTCCCTGTCCTTACCCTTTAGGGAGCTGTTCTGCCTGTTTCGGGTTGCCTTTTCTGAGGATGAAACTCAGGGAATCCTGGAGATGGTTTGTCTCCCTGGACAACCTTGCAGCACCAGGAGGCAGCACTGCCTCTTCCACGGCTGCTGTTCAAGGCTCATCAGTCACCTCTTCCCTTGGATGATTTCATCAAGTGTTTGCTTTGTAAACAGTGTCTGGGCCTCTTGTCATCTATAACTTCCCCCAAACACCCATCACCTTTACCTTCCTCCTACACTTTGAGCCTGTCTGGCACTGGTTGAGCAGTTTCCTGGGCCTCCTCCTCTGCTCACTGCCCTGTTCTGCAAGGTACTTTATTCTCCCTGTCTTCCACAGCTCTCACCTCCCTTCCAGCTTAGGTTGCTGAGCTGTGATATCCACTGTATTGATTTCTCTGGTCCCTTTGCCTCACTTTTTTCGAATAAGACCCTCTTCCCTACCTCACCTCTTGCAGAGAAGCAAGAGACAGCCATTTATCCATGCTAAGGCATCCAGAATGTGCCTCTTTTGGATATGACCTGAATGTGTCTCTGGGAAATACCAAGTCTGATCTCCTCTGAGCCGTGAATTGCCCTTGGGAAGCTTTGTGGAATGTTGTCCTAGGCCCCCCCAGCCGTGCATGTTGCAACTGCCTTGTGTGGTGTGTCTGGCAGGTCGATTGTGTCAGTTTGTGCAGTGACACCAGTGCAGCCACAGAGGAGAAAGTACAGGTGGCCTTCAGCCAGGCCCAGCAGTACCAGCCCTGCGTGCTCCTGCTGAAAGACATCGAGGTGCTTGGCAGAGACCGAGATGGGCTCGGAGAGGATGCCAGGGTCATTGCTACTCTGAGGCAACTGCTCCTGGACAGAGACCCAGCCCTGAGGTATGGACCCTGCACTTTTGCTGTGGGCATCCGAGGTAATTGCTTGCTTCTGCCAAGGGAGAGTGAGCTGGCATAAGTGATGGCAATGTAAGAGGGTACTTCCAGAGAGCTGAGACCATGCACTGTCCCCCTTCTCCCCACAGCCACCCTGTCCTGGTGATTGGCACAACCTGCCAGCCCCAGAATGTTCCCACAGATGTGCAGACTGCTTTCCTTCATGAGGTGAAGATTGAAGCCCCTTCAGAGGAGCAGAGGAGGTTGATGCTGAGCATGCTGACTGCCAGCCTACCTCTGGGCAAAGAAGTGAGCCTGTCCAGGCTGGCCCGCAGGACTGCAGTGAGTAAAACCACAGTGGCATGTGGGGATGGGCAGGCTGGGGGTGCTGGGCCAATCTCCCCTAGCTGGCCGTGGAGAAAGAGGATAGTTCCCACAGCCCAGACAACTTCTTCAGTGGTTAATCTTCATGCTCAGACATCAGCTTTTAAATGCAGATTTCTAGTCCACACCTTTTGCAGAGGTGTTGGCCAATGTTCAGCTCTGCTAATAAAAAAAAAAAAAACAAGCTCTAGAGCCTTTAAGCAGGAACAGCTTGCTCAAGGAACAGCTCTGCAAGGAATTTTTCCCTATGTTTTTTATGGCCTAGGTGTTGCTCTGGAGAGGGACTGAACTGCTCTTTGTTTCCACATCCACAGGGATTTGTGCTGGGAGATTTCTGTGCCTTGTTGTCCCACAGCAGCAGGGCTGCTTGCACCCGCATCCAGGCCTTGAGGTAGCACTTGGGGGTGAGGAGGGCAGGGGCTGCAGCCAGTAGTGGGGCAGAGTCTGACTCCTTTCCCTTTCTCTTCTCACCAGTTTTCCAGGAGGACTGAGCGAGGAAGTGGAGAGGGATTTTTGCACTGCAGGGTTCCCGGTGCTCGAGGAGGATTTTAGTGCTGCACTGGACCAGCTGCATGACGCCCACTCGCAGGCAGTGGGAGCCCCAAAGGTGAGATGTAGGGACACATGGAGGGGGTGGGTTCTGCAGAACTCTTGGCTCAAGATGCCCATCACAGATCTTGCAGGGCTATGTTCTGACACGTTGTTTCCTGCTCTGTCCTTCCATGTGTTTCCTCAGCTTTCAGTGGGAAACAGTCCTTTGGACTTTCCCCCATCAGTTTTCACCCTCTTGGCTTGGGATTTGTCAGGGAAGCTCAGGCAGTGCTAATTGCAGACCAGTGGTGCTGGAGGAGTGCCAGCTGTGCAGCTCAGCCTCTTGGGGGGCAAAGGCTGCCTCCCTGAGATCTCCCCAGCCACCTGGCCTGGGGGAACAGAGAGGCTGTGGCACAGGATGGTGAGGGAGTTTCTCCACAGATGTGATAAGTCTTACACTTGATCTCTGGCCTTGGATGCTGCTTGAGCTGGGATGGGCTTTTCTGACAGACAGGCAGTTTGAAGAACTTGGGGTTTCTTCAGGGAAAGTGACATGAGGAGTCTGAGAAAACCAGCAGTCAGCTGCTCAGAAGGGGTGGGATCTGCCTCTGGCAGCTCAGCACCAGGGAAGCAGCATTTGGGGTGACTGGTTTGGCTGGGTAATGTGGTGTTAGGACCAAGCAAAGTGATCAGAACCTCTTTTCCATGCCCATGAGTGCCAATAACTGAGTTCAGCACAGGACAGGAAGCCTTGGCCTTGGAGCAGTTCCTCTGCCACCTTCCCCAGCTGCCCACTTAATTCATGCAGCAAACTGTTTTATGGTGTTCGCCGAGTTTCCTGTAAGACAAATAACCACAGAGCATGCTCAGCAGTGAGCTGTGTGAATGGGAGTTCATTCTGTTTGTATTTTACATTCCTTTATTGATTTCTTAGTAATTGGCTGTGGTCAGGAAGCCCATTAGCAGACCTGGGTACTCTCAGCATTGCTTTCAGTTCCCTGCTTGCACTTTCTGGTTAGTCACACGTTTGTCTGCACTTCCAGCCTGAGCCTTCTGGAGAGAGCTGATTCCAAACCTCCATTTGTTAACAGTGTCTGCACTATGTCTTAGACTTACAGTGTGCTCCCCTGAAAACAACCTTGCTGAAGTTTTCCAGCTTCTGTGCTCATGTCTGTAGAGCTCTTCCTAGCGAGGCAGGATGAGCAAAAATGCAGAGCAGAGGGCAGCTCTTCCATTCATTGTCACTGCAGAAGAAGGGCCTGTGACCTTTTGTTTTAAAAGTTGGGGTTTTTTTCTGAAAATCCTTGTTTTGTTTGACCTAATTTTCCTTGTGGACAGCTAAAGAAATAAAATAAGATTACATCATTTCCAGCAGTGAAGGAAGGAGATGCAAATTGGCTGAGGGGGGAAGAATTTTGCCCTAATCTATTTTTAAACTCCCCACTTGTGCTGGCACCAGCAGCCAGCAGGTGGGGGGGAAGTGTGGGGCAGTCCCAGGAGAGCTGCTGTGACTCTCAGTGGGATGTCATGCATGCTGTGGCATTCCAGCTATTCCTAAAGTGTTGAGCAGAGCAGCAGCATGCTCTGGGATAGTTTTGCTCAGCACAAAATAACCCAAGAGGCCTTAGCTCACCCATCTCAGGTTTGGTGTCTTCTCCCTGTTCTCCATGACCCCTCATATGTCAGGGCTGACCCCCTCCCTCCCTGTTTCTCGTGAGCATACATGGACTTTGTTCTTGCATCCCCCCTTTCAAGAACAGTGAGTGTTCCATACACTGTCCTGCAGGATGTTTCTCCCTCACATCCTCCTTGCCATCACAGAGCTCCTGGCAGCCCAGGTTCTGTCTCTCTGCAAGGTGTGAAGCACTTGCACAATCTCACCCCTGTGAGGAACAAGGTGTCCTGAACACAAGTCACTCATAGTTGCAAGATTAATCTTTTTTTTTTTTTAATTCTTATTTTTACCTTCCCTCATGCATCCCAAAGGCTGCCTGCAGCAAGACTCCCCTCAAAGCTGTAGGCAACTCTGGCAGATACTTTTCCCTGGGGAATTTTTGCTGACAGATGATCCTAGGGGCAGTGGAGGATTGGAGATGAAGTGCACTCTGTGAGTGCAGCGTGCCTGGGGACGTGTTTGTACAGTTTGGTTTCTCCCTTGCAAAGCTCAGAAGAGGGGAAGTCTGGATACTGGATACTGGAGCTGCCCAAGCACGCCCAGGGCTCAGGAATAAGTGCTGAAAGGATTCTCCCTCTCTTGGCAGATCCCCTCAGTGTCCTGGCAGGATGTTGGTGGGCTGCAGGAGGTGAAGAAGGAGATCCTGGACACTATCCAGTTGCCCTTGGAGCACCCAGAGCTGCTGTCACTGGGTCTGTGCCGCTCTGGTCTGCTGCTCTACGGGCCTCCAGGGACAGGGAAGACCTTGCTGGCAAAAGCTGTGGCAACAACGTGCACCATGACATTCCTTAGGTGAGAAATGTGAAAGGGGGGTTCACACAATGGATCTGACTTCCTCCTGGCAGGGGATGGGTGTCTAACTGGCTTCCTCTTCTCCCTGCCCTACAGCGTGAAAGGGCCGGAGCTCATCAACATGTACGTTGGGCAAAGCGAGGAGAACGTGCGCAATGGTGAGGACGTGCATCCTGCTCCTGCCCCTGGGGAGATGGGCCTTTTCTGTAGTGCTGCAGGGAAGGAGGCAGTGCTTAAACCCCCCTTCCCAACTCCCAGCCACAGCTCTCAGCAAGGGCTTGAACCCAGCTGTCTCCTACAGTCCGTTCCCTGCAGCTTCCCGTCCTGATCTCTCTGCTCCTGTTGCTCCTGTCCCTGGTGTTCCTGATGGGACAGCAGCTCCTCAGAGACACAGCTGAGCTTCACGGCCATCCTGCTCAGTGCTGTCTGTCCCCAGTCTATTGAGCCATGAGACACTCAGGCAGGAGCAGTTGGTGGTGGTGATACAGTGGGCATCTGGTTTCCATCCACACCTCTTCCCTGCTGGGAATGTAGCAGGTCCTGTTGCTGCTGACTGCTCCTCCACGTCTTTTTCATGTTCTGTGCTGTCTCCTCACAGTGTTTGCCAGAGCCAGGGCAGCTGCTCCCTGCATTATCTTCTTTGATGAACTAGATTCCCTGGCCCCCAGTCGTGGGCGAAGTGGAGATTCAGGAGGTGTCATGGACAGGTGAGTGAGCATCAGGTGTCCTTGGGAGAGCAGGATTCCTGCCTCAGCTGCAGGCAGCGCATGAGATTGCCCTGAAAGGCATAGTCCGTTCCACCTCTCTCTCTGTTTTTCCCCTCTCTGCTCTCTTCAGCTCTCAGCACGGCCTGTCTCTTCTCTGAGCATTAGTACTGCTGTTTGCATTGCCTCAGGTTCCCGATTGCCCAAGCTAGTTGTGCAAACATTTGGTTAAGACAGTCTCTTCCATCTGCTTCTGTGGCTGCCAAGTGCTCCCTTTGGCCTCTCCAAGGTCATCCTTCACACCCCTGCTGTTCTGTCCTCCTGTTAGCTGCTGTTTCCCTGTGGTGGGAAACTTTTCACCTGCTTCTGGTAGAAGCAAAGTGTGTACAGCTTAGAGATGCCCAGAAACAGGCTTATTTTCTCTAGGCCTCCTCTGCTCTTCTGCTAAGCTGGCAGTTCCCATCCAGTCTTCTTGTTCTGAAGGACTGTCTGGGATTTGGAATACTTTGCAGTGAGCCCATGTGCTTATTGGCTGTGCTGATGGAGGAGTCTGGTTGGCTCTTCAGGGAAGAGAAATAGGAGCTGAAGTCCAAGAAATGGACCTGCCACTGGCCTTCTTCCTTTTTCATTGGTGGCTGAGGGGAGACACTGGGTGACTTGCCAAGGCCTAGTTCTAAGTATCCTGTCTTGCTCCCTGCAGAGTTGTCTCACAGCTCCTTGCAGAGCTTGATGGCCTTCATTCCACCAGAGAGGTGTTTGTCATTGGAGCCACCAACAGGCCTGACCTCCTGGACCCAGCTCTGCTACGGCCGGGCAGGTATGTCACATCCTACCTTGCCTCACTCCAGGGGGTTCCCCAGAGCTCCTCAGGCCGTGGTGAGCAGAACTGTGTCTCCAGCATGTTCCCTCTACAGAGATTGTTTGTGAAGGCCCCTGGCTCACAGGAAGCCATGACGGGGCTGGTGCCTGTGGCTGTAGCAGCAGTGGCTGATACCGCAGCTTGTTGCCCCCACCACTCTGGTTACTGCACCAGCAGCACAGCAGGGCAGTGAGGGACTTGCTGTTGCACCAAACAGTGGCAGGAATTGGTGCCCCAGGGCCCTTTCTGCACAGCTGCCCCCCAGCCAGTCCAGCTGCCAGCACAGTCAGTCCATTTCCCCAGCCTGCCGCTGTCCCTCCGAGCGGCCCTGCCCTCCGGCACATGGACTGCTTCAGGCTCTGCATCGTCCACAAGCTGCAGAGCAGAAGGAGCTGTCCCAGGGCCACCCTGCAGCTCCTGGAGCACTGGGCTGAGCACTTGTGGCAGGTTTGCTTTGGCCTGTTCCCAGCTGCCTTCTCTCTGCTGACAGGTTTGACAAGCTGGTCTACGTGGGCATCAGCGAGGACCGGGAGTCGCAGCTGCAGGTGCTGAGCGCCGTCACCAGGAAGTGAGTGAGCCTGTGCTCCTGCAGCGTCCTCCCACCTCCTTCCAGGAGGTCACAGCCCTTCTGGGGCTGATGCATAGCGTGCTCCATCTTGGCTTCATGTCTGAGCCCTGTGGGGCACCTGAGGTCCCTGAGCCACAGCCAGTGGGAAGGGCAGGAGGACACAGCAATTTCCAGAAGCTGGGCTGGGACTGGTTTTTCTACAGGATGAGTGGAGCTCAGCCTGCAGGTCCAAGTGGAGGGATTGGTAGAGTTTTCCAGCCACTGTGCTCTTCTTAAGGAGCTCAGCCAGATCCTGATGGTGTAGTGAGAGTGCAGTGCAGCTGCAGGACAGGAAGGTCCCATTTGATTCCTGCAAGAGTTCCCCTGCTGTTTGCCAATCCAAGTGTGAAGGCAGCTCCATTCAGCCTCTCCTCCTGTAGTGCTCAGGGGTGTTCAGACTGTGATCTGTGTGTCTTCCCAATCACTGGTTGTATGGGATTGCTGAGCATCAGGGTTTGGCTGCTTTTCCAGCTGCTCTGAGCTCCTGAGAGCATCTCTGGAGGGAGAAAAGCAAGCCCTGAAATTCGGGTTCAGAGGTACCACCCATCACAGCTGGGTGAGTGGCTGTGGCTGCCTCTGCAGGGACTCTGTCCTGGATAGCTGTGATCACCTCTGCCTGTGACCCTAAGTTAGTAGGAGAGGTGAGAGTGTGAGCTGGCTGCAAGCAGCTTGTCACACCCTGTGTCTTGGCCACCATGCCCTCCAGCAGCTGCTGGTCATGCTGAAGGAGGCTCACTGTCTGCAGCGTGGGCTCTGATGGGGTGGTTTGGTGTTACAGTGGCTTGTTCTCTATCATTAAACAGTTCTCATCCAACCCTGACTGTAGGTTGTTCCCAGACGTGTGGAGCACTTAATTTATCTAGGTGAGAAGTCAAACACCAGTGGCCTAAATAGATGGTGTTCTAGAGAGTTCATCCTGCACTGTGGCTCCAAGACTACTCCTTGCATCTTTTGTGCTTCCTAGCCTGGAACCAGAGAGGCCCAGAGAATTTGGATGCCCCATCTCTGGACATGTTCAAGCCCAGGCTGGATGGGGCTTGGAGCATCCTTGTCTAGTGGAAGGTGTCCCTGCCTATGGCAGGGGAGTTGGAATGGGATGATCCTTCCAACTCAGGCCATGCTATGCTGTGGTGCTGTGATTCAAAGTTTCCTTTAATCCTGCTTACCTGCTTAGCAGGAGAGAGGACCTTGCTGCAGGGATGTTTAAAAAAAAAAACAGTACAGCAAACTTTTATTTTTTTGAGCATTCAGAGCACATTCTGGAAGCAGCTAAACATGGGTACTCTGCTTGTTCCTGCCAAGTCACACTGGTCTGTTTTTTCTTGGCCTTTACACCTCTGTTTTTCTCTCTTGGCAGGTTTAAACTGGATCCTTCTGTGAATCTCACCACCATCCTAGAAAAATGCCCGGCTCAGCTGACAGGAGCAGACATCTATGCCCTGTGTTCAGATGCCATGATGTGTGCTGTCAAACGCAAGGTGGAGTGGATTGAGGAAGGTAGGAGCCCTGCCCTTACCTGTCCCAGTTGTTGGAGCAGCCCAGCACAGGGGCAGAGAGGAGAGTTACCACTGCTGGTAGCTGGGCTGTGTGAGAAGATCCTCAGCAGCTTTGGGACCACAGCGCTGGGCTCTGGGTTATTGCCAGGCAGGCAGTTTCTGCAGATGTGGTCATCTCCACCTCCAGTGCTTGGCCCTGGGGGGAAGGGAGAAACACAGCTTTTCCTTTGATGGCAGTCTTTGGTGGCCTTTTGGATCTTACCAGCTGCCCGTGTTCTCAGCCCTTTCTTGTTGTTTTCTCTCATGCAGGGCTGGATACTGAGAAGTCTGCTCTGATCCTGACCATGGAAGACTTTCTGCAGGCTGCTGCCAGGCTGCAGCCATCAGTCTCTGAGCAGGAGCTGCTCAGGTACAGACTCATCCAGCAGAAGTTTGCGGCCTCCTAATGCTCAGCAGAGCTGGAACTGGAGAACAGGCACAAACAGGCACTGCCTGCTCTTCTCTGATGCCTCCCAGGCCCCCTTCTTTTGAGCCTGGGTGGAAATAGTGTCTGTGCAGTTTCCCAAGCCAAGGCCTGGTGGAAGTGCTTCTCTGCTCATCCAGGAGGGTGGTGGGTTCTGTGAGGGTCCCTGACGTGGCAGCAGTGCATTGTGGCTGCAGGGGCATAGCAGGGTGATCTCCTTGCAGGAACAAAGCCATGGGCAGTGTAGTGGTGTCTCCATGACTGACAGGCCATTCTTTGGTGGGGGAGCAAGACTCAAACTGCACCTGGTTTGGCAGCAAGTGCAGGGCTGGAGGCAGCTGCTTGTTGGGCTGTCAGCCCTTAGTGGGAGGTGCTGGCCAGAGGGGCAGCAGGACACAGGGCACTGCTGCTCCAGCTGGCCTGGACTTGACATAGTATCTGAATAAACACAGTTTTTTTAGCACTAGGTGCTCACTGCCTGACCTCGTTATTGCTTCTGATGGTATCTGTAGGCTCAGGAAGGTCCCTGCAACTTTTGGGTGGGCTGGGTGGTACAGAGAAATCATTGTCCTGCAGGTAGAGAGGGGAGCACACCTGTGAACTAGACTGGGGCCACTCTCATCCTGCCAGAATGGCTGGAGCCCTTGGTGGATGAGGAAGGCCTGAGGAAGAGGCGCTTGCTTGGCTGTGAGCTGAGCTCCCTCTGCAGAAGGAGCCCAGTTCTTGCTGGAGACACTGAGTGACAGGACATGAGGCAATGGGAGCAAGTGGCAGCAAGAAATTCCCATTGGATGAGAGGAAAAACTTGTCACAGAGAGAAGGGGAGCTTCAGCCTTGGAAATACTCAAAACTTGTCTGGAGCAGCCTGGAGCTGCCCAGCCTGCACTAATTTGTGCTGAGCACCACTGAGGTCCTGTCTCACCTCCCTCTGTAACGTTACAGCAGCTGCTGGTGGCATTGCATATCCCCTGCCTTTTCCAAGGGTGCCCAACAAATGGCACTGGAGCTGTGTTTGACAGCTGCTGGCCAGGTGCCTGCAGCTGCCCTCAGCTTTGTGCAGCCCAAGAGGTTGCTGGTGCCAGGTTTTGCCCCACCTGTTGTAGGCACTGAGCCTGCTGACAGCTGGATCCCTGGGCCAAGCGTGGCTGTGAGGGCCTGCTCCCCCTGGAGCTCATCTGCTAAGGGCTGGTTCCACAGCAGCTTCTGACATTCCATGAGGGAGTTTGCAGCTGGTGCATGCCTGGAGCCCTGTGGCTCTGGCTCTGGTGCCTGAGCGTGTTCAGGCAGGGCTATCCCTGACCGCACTGCTCCGTGCTGCTGGATCTGGGCACCACATCTTCCCCAGGGTGGGAGGGAGGGAGGGAGCTGCAGCCACAGCAGAAGCATGGGTGGAGGGTTCAGCATGGAGCCTCCCCACTCTGGGAGCTCCTGTGGGGAGTGGGTACCCCTGTATGGGGCTGAGGAGTGTCAAGAACAGGAGACAGCACGTGTTTGAGAGGTGCACGTGAGGTAACGTTCCAGCACACTCCTGTGAGCGGTGCTGCAGGGACTCAGCTGGGCTGTGCAACCACCTGGGAGCCAGCTCACCCCTCCTTCCCACTTCAAGGGAAGCCCCAAGCCCCACCTGCAACTGTGCCTGCACCCATCCTGTGCCGCCCCCAGGCTGAGCACCTCCTTCCACAGAGTCCTGAAGAGGCAGTGGCCGTCCCCCTTGCCCCGTACCCTGCCCATACAGGGACACACGGACCATGATCGAAGGTAGCTCTCACAAGTGTTCTTAATTAAGGGGAGGGGTCTCCCAGGCGGCTCTCAGCCATGTCCCCACCCCCTGCTTGGACCCACAGCTGCTTGGAGCTCTCAGCCACCACAGTCCCATCTCCATAGCTGCCTCAGCCTGTCTTCTTCACGACGTGGATGAAGTAGCAGGGCACGTGGGCCTGTCCCGGTGTGTAGGGCTGGAAGTCGCCCAGGACGCTGTGCTGGCACTTTCCCTGGAAGGCACCTTTGAGCAGAGCCGTGAAGGCCTCCAGCCGGTGCGGGTAGTACGAGAGGCGAAACTTGCTGCAAGGAGGCAGTGCTGGTGAGGCGGGGGGACAGCGGGGCACAGTGCCAGCCACCCCCCCACGCCGGGAGCCACCTCTGCAGCTCTTCTCACCTCAGCTCCGGGTCTGCCCCCGCCTCAGTGGGGGGGACCTGCACCGTGTAGTCCAGGGTCACCATGTGCGCCTTGTTGTTTACCAGCAGCACCGAGGTGGTGATGTCCTTGGTCAAGTCGCTCTAGGAGACCACAGGAGGACATCTGTGTCCTGTGGGGACTCAGTGGCCCCCAGCCTGGGCACAATCCTGCTGCCTGCCCTGCCTGGCCCCCTTGAGGCCGTGGGGCTGGGGCAAAGGGGGTTGGGATGGGGCAGGGCCTGCCAGCCACCGACCTTGTAGTAGATGTTCTTGCCGGGCGGCGCGCAGCCCGTGGCCAGGATGTGATCGTAGTTGCGGTGGTCGATGACCAGGACACCCCCGGGCCGCACCATGCTGGCAATGTTCCTCAGGGCCAGCTTGTGGTCACTCTGGTCCCCTAGAAAAGAAATAACGATGTCTCCAAGCACTGGCTGTACCCCGTGGCACAGTCCATATGTCCTCATCTTACCCATACACACATACACATGTACGCACAAATACCTGCCCTACCATCTTCCCCTAAATCTCAGCTTGGAGAACCCACAGCCCCACCCATGGCATGAGCTCAGGCACGTTCTCAGCCTCACTGGAGCAGAGCATGCCACGTGGGAAACCCACCACCCGCCTTTGTGGCACAATTCTGGGTGAGCCTCCAGCCTTGCCAGAGCAGTGACATTGATGCACAAACCTCCACCATGACCATAGCACCCAACAGGCCCACTCATGTCACAGACTGGGGCAGTGGGGCCTCAGCTCCACCCTCCCTGAGCCATGAAACAGCAGCTCCACTGTGTGTAATCCCATCCCACTAATGCCATGACTTAGGACATGTTCTCAGCTTGCTGGAAAACACCATGCACACATAGGTGCTCCCCCTCCTCTCCCCTGCCTCAACTCACCTTTGAAATCAGGCAGGTGTGCAAAGGAGTTCCCGAGACAGATGACTGCATCAAACCCATCCCCTGGCTTCTCCAGGTCCTTCTCCAGTGTGAGCCAGTTGGCCTCCTCGATGACTGCAGCACAGGGAAATGGATGAGGGTAGGGACACCCAACAGCCTCCCCTGCCTGCAAGACCCCATCCCAGCACCACCCAGCCCTTCCCAGGCCCCTCTGGCTGCTGGCTCTTCCCTCTGGCTAGCAGCCAGACAAGCAAGGACCACGGCTTGTCTTTGCCGAGCATCTGGCACTATCAGGTCCCCGCAGCAAAGCCACCCGGCCAGCGGCAGTCCCAGATGAGTGGCCCGAGCACTGCGAGGATGGACACTGTGGGACAGTGCCAGTGTCCGCAGCCCCTCCCGGCCCCCACAGCCCCCGCACCCCATCGGTCGAAGGGCTCCTCCTTGCGCCGCTCCCAGCGCTCCTTCAGCGCGTACTTGAGCATCTTGTCGCTGGCATCGACGCTGGTCACCTGGAAGCCCTCCTCGAGCAGCATGATGGAGTCCACCCTGGGGACACGGCTGTCAGCGGGGCCGGGGGCAGCACAGGGGCCGGGGGNGGGGGGCACTGGGGATGGCCGGGGGCCCGGGTAGCCCCGGGCAGGGGGAAGGGACACCTGGGATGTGGGCGGGAGCGGGGCCTCACCCGGTGCCGCAGGCCACGTCCAGGACGGAGCGGCAGCGGTGCTGGCGGAGCAGCGCCAGGAGCCAGCTGCGGTACTCGGCCGTGCGGCCCCGCGTGTCCCCGATGTACAGCTGCCACACGCGGGCCGCCCGCCCGTCCGCGTACTGGTCCGGCAGCCCCTCCGCCGCCACTCCCAGCGACCGCGTCCGGTACACGCTGTCCACCATCCCGCCGCCGCCGACACGGACCCGGACTCCGACACCGACACGGACCCGGACACCGACACGGCCGCGGCCCCTGTCCGCCCCCGCGGCTCCGCCAATCGCCGCTCGCGCCGCTCATCTCCCGCCCCCGGGCGGGCCACGCCCTCCCCCCTTCTGCGGCCCCGCCCATGCGCGCCGCCCGGCAGCGCTCGCGCCGCGCCCCCTCACGGCCCCGACCTTTGCCTCAGGTCAGGGCCGGCCCGCGGGACCCGCCCGCCCCTCACGGCCTCCCCGGGCCGCGGCAGCGCCGATCCCGCACCCAGCGGCAGCAGCAGAAGCACGGCCGGCAGTGGCGGCGGCGACTCTGGGGAAAACGTCTTTATTTACAGTCCCGGCGGCGTGCGAGGAGCCGGCGGCGGGGCAGCACTCGCGGCCTCCCGGAGCTGGAGCCCCCGGCAGGGATGCGGCACGGCTGGGTCCGCGGCTCCGTGACACCTAATCACGGGATAGCACCCAGGCTGGCAAGGCGGGGCCAGGCGCTCTGGTCTCCCCCGGGTCACAAGTCCCTTTTCCTTTGGTACCCATAGGCACAGCGGGGTGAAAGCCCGGAGCGGGCGGCCCCGGGGCAGGGGCTGCGTGCCTACAGCTCATCAGCTGGGCTGTGCGTGAGCGGAGCCTGCTCCTGGACCCCCTCCAGGGCCTCCCCTGTGTCCGGAAGGCTGGCAGCTCCCTCGCGCTCATCCTTCTGGCCCTTTTTCTTCTTCTTCCCGCTCTTTTTTTTGCTCTGCTTCTCCCCCACGCTTGCCAAATCACCCTTCTTGCCAGTCCACTTCTCTGCCAGGCAGCCTACGGAAAAGAGGAGAAGAGAGGGGCAGAGTGGGCTCTGCTGGAGAGGCAGGACTCCCCATGCTTTAGCAAGGCTCCCCTGCCCTCCTGAGCATTCCTGCATTATTTCAGCCCCTGGAAGCAACCCAGGACTTACTTGTGTCCTTTCCTTTTAGCACGTGGTTGGCACAGAGAAACTGGGAGAGATCCTCCGTCTGGTGGTGCCTGTACCAATCTTCGATCACATCTTCATACTCCTCTACCAGCACATCGCACTAGGGCAGAGAGGAGAGCCCAGCTCCAGACATGTGCTGGTGTGGCAGGACCAGGGCCAGGCTCCTGCCACAGGTCCTGCCAACATCCTGCTCCCAGCAGCTCACCCTGGATGCTCTCCCTCCTTCCACTCCAGCCCACAAGGTCACAGCAGCCACTGAGGGCCAATCCCACGGGGCGGGGTACCTGCTTTTTGAGGTCGGCCACCTCAGCGGAGGTCTCATTCCACAGCTCGTAGGGGATGTCCATCACCACCTTGACACCCTTGTGCACCAGATTGTGCAGGGTCTCGAACGTCTCCGACATGCCCTGTGAGGGAGGGAGCAGCACTGCCTGGTGAGGCCGTGCTCCTCCTGCAGGGCTCCCCCTCTCTCCTCCCAGTGCCAGCCACACAACCCTGCCCAGCCATGCAGGAACACGCAAGCCAGAT